CCTGATAATGATGGTATATTATGTTGTGTATTTGTCTGGGTGATGTTCCCCTGATAATGATGGTATATTATGTTGTGTATTTGTCTGGGTGATGTTCCCCTGATAATGATGGTATATTATGTTGTGTATTTGTCTGGGTGATGTTCCCCTGATAATGATGGTATATTATGTTGTGTATTTGTCTGGGTGATGTTCCCCTGATAATGATGGTATATTATGTTGTGTATTTGTCTGGGTGATGTTCCCCTGATAATGATGGTATATTATGTTGTGTATTTGTCTGGGTGATGTTCCCCTGATAATGATGGTATATTATGTTGTGTATTTGTCTGGGTGATGTTCCCCTGATAATGATGGTATATTATGTTGTGTATTTGTCTGGGTGATGTTCCCCTGATAATGATGGTATATTATGTTGTGTATTTGTCTGGGTGATGTTCCCCTGATAATGATGGTATATTATGTTGTGTATTTGTCTGGGTGATGTTCCCCTGATAATGATGGTATATTATGTTGTGTATTTGTCTGGGTGATGTTCCCCTGATAATGATGGTATATTATGTTGTGTATTTGTCTGGGTGATGTTCCCCTGATAATGATGGTATATTATGTTGTGTATTTGTCTGGGTGATGTTCCCCTGATAATGATGGTATATTATGTTGTGTATTTGTCTGGGTGATGTTCCCCTGATAATGATGGTATATTATGTTGTGTATTTGTCTGGGTGATGTTCCCCTGATAATGATGGTATATTATGTTGTGTATTTGTCTGGGTGATGTTCCCCTGATAATGATGGTATATTATGTTGTGTATTTGTCTGGGTGATGTTCCCCTGATAATGATGGTATATTATGTTGTGTATTTGTCTGGGTGATGTTCCCCTGATAATGATGGTATATTATGTTGTGTATTTGTCTGGGTGATGTTCCCCTGATAATGATGGTATATTATGTTGTGTATTTGTCTGGGTGATGTTCCCCTGATAATGATGGTATATTATGTTGTGTATTTGTCTGGGTGATGTTCCCCTGATAATGATGGTATATTATGTTGTGTATTTGTCTGGGTGATGTTCCCCTGATAATGATGGTATATTATGTTGTGTATTTGTCTGGGTGATGTTCCCCTGATAATGATGGTATATTATGTTGTGTATTTGTCTGGGTGATGTTCCCCTGATAATGATGGTATATTATGTTGTGTATTTGTCTGGGTGATGTTCCCCTGATAATGATGGTATATTATGTTGTGTATTTGTCTGGGTGATGTTCCCCTGATAATGATGGTATATTATGTTGTGTATTTGTCTGGGTGATGTTCCCCTGATAATGATGGTATATTATGTTGTGTATTTGTCTGGGTGATGTTCCCCTGATAATGATGGTATATTATGTTGTGTATTTGTCTGGGTGATGTTCCCCTGATAATGATGGTATATTATGTTGTGTATTTGTCTGGGTGATGTTCCCCTGATAATGATGGTATATTATGTTGTGTATTTGTCTGGGTGATGTTCCCCTGATAATGATGGTATATTATGTTGTGTATTTGTCTGGGTGATGTTCCCCTGATAATGATGGTATATTATGTTGTGTATTTGTCTGGGTGATGTTCCCCTGATAATGATGGTATATTATGTTGTGTATTTGTCTGGGTGATGTTCCCCTGATAATGATGGTATATTATGTTGTGTATTTGTCTGGGTGATGTTCCCCTGATAATGATGGTATATTATGTTGTGTATTTGTCTGGGTGATGTTCCCCTGATAATGATGGTATATTATGTTGTGTATTTGTCTGGGTGATGTTCCCCTGATAATGATGGTATATTATGTTGTGTATTTGTCTGGGTGATGTTCCCCTGATAATGATGGTATATTATGTTGTGTATTTGTCTGGGTGATGTTCCCCTGATAATGATGGTATATTATGTTGTGTATTTGTCTGGGTGATGTTCCCCTGATAATGATGGTATATTATGTTGTGTATTTGTCTGGGTGATGTTCCCCTGATAATGATGGTATATTATGTTGTGTATTTGTCTGGGTGATGTTCCCCTGATAATGATGGTATATTATGTTGTGTATTTGTCTGGGTGATGTTCCCCTGATAATGATGGTATATTATGTTGTGTATTTGTCTGGGTGATGTTCCCCTGATAATGATGGTATATTATGTTGTGTATTTGTCTGGGTGATGTTCCCCTGATAATGATGGTATATTATGTTGTGTATTTGTCTGGGTGATGTTCCCCTGATAATGATGGTATATTATGTTGTGTATTTGTCTGGGTGATGTTCCCCTGATAATGATGGTATATTATGTTGTGTATTTGTCTGGGTGATGTTCCCCTGATAATGATGGTATATTATGTTGTGTATTTGTCTGGGTGATGTTCCCCTGATAATGATGGTATATTATGTTGTGTATTTGTCTGGGTGATGTTCCCCTGATAATGATGGTATATTATGTTGTGTATTTGTCTGGGTGATGTTCCCCTGATAATGATGGTATATTATGTTGTGTATTTGTCTGGGTGATGTTCCCCTGATAATGATGGTATATTATGTTGTGTATTTGTCTGGGTGATGTTCCCCTGATAATGATGGTATATTATGTTGTGTATTTGTCTGGGTGATGTTCCCCTGATAATGATGGTATATTATGTTGTGTATTTGTCTGGGTGATGTTCCCCTGATAATGATGGTATATTATGTTGTGTATTTGTCTGGGTGATGTTCCCCTGATAATGATGGTATATTATGTTGTGTATTTGTCTGGGTGATGTTCCCCTGATAATGATGGTATATTATGTTGTGTATTTGTCTGGGTGATGTTCCCCTGATAATGATGGTATATTATGTTGTGTATTTGTCTGGGTGATGTTCCCCTGATAATGATGGTATATTATGTTGTGTATTTGTCTGGGTGATGTTCCCCTGATAATGATGGTATATTATGTTGTGTATTTGTCTGGGTGATGTTCCCCTGATAATGATGGTATATTATGTTGTGTATTTGTCTGGGTGATGTTCCCCTGATAATGATGGTATATTATGTTGTGTATTTGTCTGGGTGATGTTCCCCTGATAATGATGGTATATTATGTTGTGTATTTGTCTGGGTGATGTTCCCCTGATAATGATGGTATATTATGTTGTGTATTTGTCTGGGTGATGTTCCCCTGATAATGATGGTATATTATGTTGTGTATTTGTCTGGGTGATGTTCCCCTGATAATGATGGTATATTATGTTGTGTATTTGTCTGGGTGATGTTCCCCTGATAATGATGGTATATTATGTTGTGTATTTGTCTGGGTGATGTTCCCCTGATAATGATGGTATATTATGTTGTGTATTTGTCTGGGTGATGTTCCCCTGATAATGATGGTATATTATGTTGTGTATTTGTCTGGGTGATGTTCCCCTGATAATGATGGTATATTATGTTGTGTATTTGTCTGGGTGATGTTCCCCTGATAATGATGGTATATTATGTTGTGTATTTGTCTGGGTGATGTTCCCCTGATAATGATGGTATATTATGTTGTGTATTTGTCTGGGTGATGTTCCCCTGATAATGATGGTATATTATGTTGTGTATTTGTCTGGGTGATGTTCCCCTGATAATGATGGTATATTATGTTGTGTATTTGTCTGGGTGATGTTCCCCTGATAATGATGGTATATTATGTTGTGTATTTGTCTGGGTGATGTTCCCCTGATAATGATGGTATATTATGTTGTGTATTTGTCTGGGTGATGTTCCCCTGATAATGATGGTATATTATGTTGTGTATTTGTCTGGGTGATGTTCCCCTGATAATGATGGTATATTATGTTGTGTATTTGTCTGGGTGATGTTCCCCTGATAATGATGGTATATTATGTTGTGTATTTGTCTGGGTGATGTTCCCCTGATAATGATGGTATATTATGTTGTGTATTTGTCTGGGTGATGTTCCCCTGATAATGATGGTATATTATGTTGTGTATTTGTCTGGGTGATGTTCCCCTGATAATGATGGTATATTATGTTGTGTATTTGTCTGGGTGATGTTCCCCTGATAATGATGGTATATTATGTTGTGTATTTGTCTGGGTGATGTTCCCCTGATAATGATGGTATATTATGTTGTGTATTTGTCTGGGTGATGTTCCCCTGATAATGATGGTATATTATGTTGTGTATTTGTCTGGGTGATGTTCCCCTGATAATGATGGTATATTATGTTGTGTATTTGTCTGGGTGATGTTCCCCTGATAATGATGGTATATTATGTTGTGTATTTGTCTGGGTGATGTTCCCCTGATAATGATGGTATATTATGTTGTGTATTTGTCTGGGTGATGTTCCCCTGATAATGATGGTATATTATGTTGTGTATTTGTCTGGGTGATGTTCCCCTGATAATGATGGTATATTATGTTGTGTATTTGTCTGGGTGATGTTCCCCTGATAATGATGGTATATTATGTTGTGTATTTGTCTGGGTGATGTTCCCCTGATAATGATGGTATATTATGTTGTGTATTTGTCTGGGTGATGTTCCCCTGATAATGATGGTATATTATGTTGTGTATTTGTCTGGGTGATGTTCCCCTGATAATGATGGTATATTATGTTGTGTATTTGTCTGGGTGATGTTCCCCTGATAATGATGGTATATTATGTTGTGTATTTGTCTGGGTGATGTTCCCCTGATAATGATGGTATATTATGTTGTGTATTTGTCTGGGTGATGTTCCCCTGATAATGATGGTATATTATNATTTGTCTGGGTGATGTTCCCCTGTTTACTAACAGTTGAATATTAGCTGTTAGAGTGAATATTACTGTGTAAACAAATAATTTCGGCGACTATCAACTTCCTGTTTCCCGATTTCGGAAGTACATTTTGGAAAGCTTGTTGGTGGTTCGTAGCTGCCCATGACAGTTTTATAATGCCTAATGATATAACAGTGTCACTGACTGTGTCCCTCTTGTTTTTACAGAGATGCCATTATCTTTGCACTGGCCAATAGCGGTACGAGCATTTTTGCTGGCTTTCTCATCTTCACCATATTAGGGCATATGGCGTTTTTACAGCAGACCACTGTGGACAAGGTGGCAGCCTCAGGTTTGTTGATTCAAGACAGAAGAAAACTTCAAATTATATATTGTTGTCGAGCAATGATAGCACTTCAGTATTGAAACATAATAATAGAGGGGTACTTTAGGAAGGGATCTGTATCAATTTAGATGTTCTAAGTAGATTTATATTTCTAGTGTGCGTTATGTTTAATACACATAGTACATTGTATCTGAAGTGTTACGTCAACTTTACATTTAGTCTTCTAAAGATTAAAATACAGGGATTTTTTATTTTTTTGGTTTCAGAATAACCAATTTCAAATATTGCATGAACTTGTTGTATAATATAGACATCATGTACTGTTAAAAATATGTCTGGGGAACAATATATCACCTGATAATATTTCTGGTGAGTGTTGTATTACCTGACAATATTTCTGGTGAGTGTTGTATTACCTGATAATATGTCTGGTGAGTGTTATATTACCTGACAATATTTCTGGTGAGTGTTGTATTACCTGACAATATTTCTGGTGAGTGTTATATTACCTGACGATATTTCTGGTGAGTGTAATATAATATTACCTGATAATATGTCTGGTGAGTGTTGTATTACCTGACAATATTTCTGGTGAGTGTTATATTACCTGACGATATTACTGGTGAGTGTTATATTACCTGATAATATATCTGGTGAGTGTTGTATTACCTGACAATATTTCTGGTGAGTGTTATATTACCTGACAATATTTCTGGTGAGTGTTATATTACCTGACGATATTTCTGGTGAGTGTAATATTACCTGACAATATTTCTGGTGAGTGTAATATTACCTGATAATATTTCTGGTGAGTGTTATATAACCTGATAATATTTCTGGAGAGTGTTATATTACCTGACAATATTTCTGGGGAACAATATATTACCTGACAATATTTCTGGTGAGTGTTATATTACCTGACAATATTTTTGGGGAACAATATATTACATGACAATATTCATTGTGAGTGTTATATTACCTGACGATATTTCTGGAGAGTGTTATATAACCTGACGATATTTCTGGAGAGTGTTATATAACCTGATAATATGTCTGGTGAGTGTTATATTACCTGACAATATTTCTGGTGAGTGTTATATTACCTGACAATATTTCTGGTGAGTGTTATATTACCTGACGATATTTCTGGTGAGTGTTATATTACCTGACAATATTTCTGGTGAGTGTTATATTACCTGACGATATTTCTGGTGAGTGTTATATTACCTGACGATATTTCTGGTGAGTGTTATATTACCTGACGATATTTTTGGTGAGTGTTATATTACCAGACAATATTTCTGGTGAGTGTTATATTACCTGACGATATTTTTGGTGAGTGTTATATTTCCTGACGATATTTTTGGTGAGTGTTATATCACCAGACAATATTTTTGGTGAGTGGTATATCACCTGACGATATTTTTGGTGAGTGTTATATTTCCTGACGATATTTTTGGTGAGTGTTTTATCACCTGACAATATTTCTGGTGAGTGTTATATTACCTGACGATATTACTGGTGAGTGTTATATTACCTGACGATATTTTTGGTGAGTGTTTTATCACCAGACAATATTTCTGGTGAGTGTTTTATCACCTGACAATATATCTGGTGAGTGTTATATTACCTGACGATATTTCTGGTGAGTGTTATATTACCTGGCGATATTTTTGATGAGTGTTTTATCACCTGACAATATTTTTGGTAAGTGTTATATCACCTGACAATATTTCTGGTGAGTGTTATATTACCTGACGATATTTTTGGTGAGTGTTATATCACCTGACAATATTACTGGTGAGTGTTATATTACCTGACGATATTTTTGGTGATACTTGTAGGGCCGGGACTAGCCTTTATAGCCTACCCGAAGGCTGTGTCACTCATGCCTGGTGCGCCTGTGTGGTCAGTTCTGTTCTTTCTTATGGTCATCCTGCTGGGTCTGGACAGTCAGGTACGTGTCATATAACATCATTATCAGGAACAGTGTGTCTGGATTACTATGTGGGTATCATACAATATCAAATGATTGGGCCGATAACTCGCCAGTTCTATATAAATATAAACGTAATCACAAGTTGCGATGCATTATAGAAAAAAGAAAATACTGGCATTTACGTATCAAAGAATGCACTTAAATAAACGTAGAGCCGTCTACTGAGAGCTACCTGATCATCAGTTCTAATGTTGTGGGTGGATGTTTCATGAAGTCTAGAATCTTACTTTTTATAAACATGTCTTTGTTTCAAACAGAAAACAAGGGGAAAATATTAAAAAACGAAAAACAAAAGAATAAGTGTCAACAAAGCGTAATAAACCTAGTACGAACTATATACAAAGGAAACGTGTATATGGAACCTTGGAAAAAGTCAAACAGATTCATCGGCGACACAGATAAAACAATTTATATAGAAATACAGTATAGCAAAAATAAGAAAAGTCGGACAAAAACTTGTTCACTTCATAATCATAATAATTGACACCGCATTTATAGAAAATATCAGAATATTTATTACAATTAAACTATATGCTCGTGGGACTATCCCTATTTCAAACGTCCCTTTGACAATATAAGACAACACTATAGGTATCTTGACTCAATAGTACCATGTGTTTATCATGCGATATCCATGATCTTTCCAGTTCGTGGGCGTGGAAGGCGTAGTGACCGCTATAGTGGACCAATTTCCTAACTACCTGAGGAAAGGTTACAGGAAAGAGATCTTCATTGGTTTTGTGTGTTTTCTATCTTACCTCGTGGGGCTCACCATGGTAACGGAGGTAGGTTTGGGGTTCTCTAGGCCTCTTCTTTATAGGGAGAACAATCATACTCTGTTAAGTTGTGTACAAGTTTTTCGTGTATGTGTGTTTGGGTGTGTGAGTGTGTGTATTATTACCTTGTGGTGCGCTTGATTGTCACAGAGGAATTTGTGCCTTTATTGGGTCGTTGATGGTGGTGGAAAAATGCGGGTTCTTCTCCGAGGGGTTGTCTGTGGGTCCTACTTCGTGGGGTTGTCTGTTGGTCCTACTTCGTTGGATTGTCTGTGGGTCCTACTTCGTGGGATTGTCTGTGGGTCCTACTTCGTGGCGTTGTCTGTGGGTCCTACTTCGTGGGATTGTCTGTGGGTCCTACTTCGTGGGATTGTCTGTGGGTCCTACTTCGTGGGATTGTCTGTGGGTCCTACTTCGTGGGGTTGTCTGTGGGTCCTACTTCGTGGGGTTGTCTGTGGGTCCTACTTCGTGGGGTTGTCTGTGGGTCCTACTTCGTGGGGTTGTCTGTGGGTCCTACTTCGTGGGGTTGTCTGTGGGTCCTACTTCGTGGGGTTGTCTGTGGGTCCTACTTCGTGGGGTTGTCTGTGGGTCCTACTTCGTGGGGTTGTCTGTGGGTCCTACTTCGTGGGGTTGTCTGTGGGTCCTACTTCGTGGGGTTGTCTGTGGGTCCTACTTCGTGGGGTTGTCTGTGGGTCCTACTTCGTGGGGTTGTCTGTGGGTCCTACTTCGTGGGGTTGTCTGTGGGTCCTACTTCGTGGGGTTGTCTGTGGGTCCTACTTCGTGGGGTTGTCTGTGGGTCCTACTTCGTGGGGTTGTCTGTGGGTCCTACTTCGTGGGGTTGTCTGTGGGTCCTACTTCGTGGGGTTGTCTGTGGGTCCTACTTCGTGGGGTGGTCTGTGGGTCCTACTTCGTGGGGTTGAGTACGGTTATATGGTATTGTGGAGTTGTATGCAGTAAAAGAGGTTTGTGTATGTTAGGGCTGCCCCTTGTTGCTCTAATAAATTGAAGTCGTTTTTTTAAACCCAGTTGATCTTAGTAGGTATCCGTATTCAGACAGAAGTGATTTTGTGTTGATTTTGTTAATTCAAATATTTATTTTTTTATTTTTTTTAAGAAATGATTTTTACCAAATTATTTGTACGCATAAAATAGCAAAAGAAAGTACCAACGAATGTTTCATGTTGTTTATACACTTAGCTAGTGAAAGTTTCGATGGTTGACCCGTAGTAAGGGTTGCTGTCTTCCTCGTCGGTTATTTACTATATAATATATCGATATGCTATAGTATACGTACAACTAAGTGTTATCTGATGCTAATCACCTTTGTACGTTGTCAGGGAGGAATGTACGTGTTCCAGTTGTTTGACTACTATTCCGGCAGTAGGATCATCCTGTTTGTCGCCTTCTTCGAGTGTGTAGGCATTGCCTGGATATACGGTAAGTGTTTGTTACGAAAGTCTGGAGTTTGAAAATTTAAATTCGTGATAGTTGTCCCGTCCACCTTCATCGCTTTAGTGGATTTGTTTCTGAACGGATTATGATCAATCTTTTACAAAGTTCACGTATAATGATACCTCAAATGAGTTCGAAGGTCAAGGTTTAAAGATAAAGGCCAAGGTCAGCGTTGCTATTTATAGAAATTTGTCAACAAATTGAGTGACATGAGTCTCCAGCAACTTACCGATTTTGATCAAACTTATGTAAGAGGCAGCACGAGAACGCTTCGATTGAGTTCATGTTTAATGATTGAGTTCATATTCAATGAACCTAAGATCAGAGTCAAGATCATCGTTTAAATTTATTGCAATTTTTTGATAACAATACTACTTTGCATGGAAACAGGGGGATTCATGTCCTTCAGATGTGTTTAAGTTTCTAATTATTATAAATCAAAATTAGGTAAAATACTTTTGTCCAGTCTTAATGTCGTGCTTTGAATTATAAGTAAAAGTACTTATAAATCTATTTTGAAATTGAAAATAAGAATTTTTATAAGTATGCACCCCTTCTGTTTCAAAAATAGTTTAGACCAAATTGAGGTTCGATCTTTTTTTGCCGTTGTGTCAGCGATGAGTTCTAGAGTGACGATACAGCTGTATGATGCAGTGTACTTCATTGTTGGCATGTCGTGTCTATTACTAACTGTTAAAGGTGCAATCAACTGGGTGTGCTACGTCCATCTTTATCAGGAAATTATCACATATGTTAATGAACGACTCCATCCACAGAAAAAAATTATGGATTCTGTCATTGTGGGCGAGAACATCAAACTATAATATATTTCCTGTGTAATTATAATTTGTATGGAGCAGATATAAAATCAAGCGGCCTTTGCGTTTTCATCCACTTCTCATAGTAGATGACTTGTATCCATTTCTCATAGTAGATGACTTGTATCCACTTCTCATAGTAGATGACCTGTATCCATTTCTCATAGTATATGACTTGTATCCACTTCCCATAGTAAATGAATTGTATCCATTTCTCATAGTAGATGACCTGTATCCACTTCTCATAGTAGATGACTTGTATCCACTTCTCATAGTAGATGACTTGTATTCACTTCCCATAGTAGATGACTTGTATCCACTTTTCATAGAAGATGACCTGTATTCACTTCTCATAGTAGATGACTTGTATCCACTTCTCATAGTAGGTGACCTGTATCCACTTCTCATAGAAGATGACTTGTATCCACTTTTCATAGAAGATGACCTGTATTCACTTCTCATAGTAGATGACTTGTATCCACTTCTCATAGTAGATGACTTGTATCCACTTCTCATAGAAGATGACTTGTATCCACTTCTCATAGTAGATGACTTGTATCCACTTCTCATAGTAGATGACTTGTATCCACTTCTCATAGTAGATGACTTGTATCCACTTCTCATAGTAGATGACTTGTATTCACTTCTCATAGTAGATGACTTGTATCCACTTCTCATAGTAGATGACTTGTATCCACTTCTCATAGTAGATGACTTGTATCCACTTCTCATAGTAGATGACTTGTATCCACTTCTCATAGTAGATGACTTGTATTCACTTCTCATAGTAGATGACTTGTATCCACTTCTCATAGTAGATGACTTGTATCCACTTCTCATAGTAGATGACTTGTATCCACTTCTCATAGTAGATGACTTGTATCCACTTCTCATAGTAGATGACTTGTATCCACTTCTCATAGTAGATGACTTGTATCCACTTCTCATAGTAGATGACTTGTATCCACTTCTCATAGTAGATGACTTGTATCCACTTCTCATAGTAGATGACTTGTATCCACTTCTCATAGTAGATGACTTGTATCCACTTCTCATAGTAGATGACTTGTATCCACTTCTCATAGTAGATGACTTGTATCCACTTCTCATAGTAGATGACTTGTATCCACTTCTCATAGTAGATGACTTGTATCCACTTCTCATAGTAGATGACTTGTATCCACTTCTCATAGTAGATGACTTGTATCCACTTCTCATAGTAGATGACTTGTATCCACTTCTCATAGTAGATGACTTGTATCCACTTCTCATAGTAGATGACTTGTATCCACTTCTCATAGTAGATGACTTGTATCCACTTCTCATAGTAGATGACTTGTATCCACTTCTCATAGTAGATGACTTGTATCCACTTCTCATAGTAGATGACTTGTATCCACTTCTCATAGTAGATGACTTGTATCCACTTCTCATAGTAGATGACTTGTATCCACTTCTCATAGTAGATGACTTGTATCCACTTCTCATAGTAGATGACTTGTATCCACTTCTCATAGTAGATGACTTGTATCCACTTCTCATAGTAGATGACTTGTATCCACTTCTCATAGTAGATGACTTGTATCCACTTCTCATAGTAGATGACTTGTATCCACTTCTCATAGTAGATGACTTGTATCCACTTCTCATAGTAGATGACTTGTATCCACTTCTCATAGTAGATGACTTGTATCCACTTCTCATAGTAGATGACTTGTATCCACTTCTCATAGTAGATGACTTGTATCCACTTCTCATAGTAGATGACTTGTATCCACTTCTCATAGTAGATGACTTGTATCCACTTCTCATAGTAGATGACTTGTATCCACTTCTCATAGTAGATGACTTGTATCCACTTCTCATAGTAGATGACTTGTATCCACTTCTCATAGTAGATGACTTGTATCCACTTCTCATAGTAGATGACTTGTATCCACTTCTCATAGTAGATGACTTGTATCCACTTCTCATAGTAGATGACTTGTATCCACTTCTCATAGTAGATGACTTGTATCCACTTCTCATAGTAGATGACTTGTATCCACTTCTCATAGTAGATGACTTGTATCCACTTCTCATAGTAGATGACTTGTATCCACTTCTCATAGTAGATGACTTGTATCCACTTCTCATAGTAGATGACTTGTATCCACTTCTCATAGAAGATGACTTGTATCCACTTCTCATAGTAGATGACTTGTATCCACTTCTCATAGTAGATGACTTGTATCCACTTCTCATAGTAGATGACTTGTATCCACTTCTCATAGTAGATGACTTGTATCCACTTCTCATAGTAGATGACTTGTATCCACTTCTCATAGTAGATGACTTGTATCCACTTCTCATAGTAGATGACTTGTATCCACTTCTCATAGTAGATGACTTGTATCCACTTCTCATAGTAGATGACTTGTATCCACTTCTCATAGTAGATGACTTGTATCCACTTCTCATAGTAGATGACTTGTATCCACTTCTCATAGTAGATGACTTGTATCCACTTCTCATAGTAGATGACTTGTATCCACTTCTCATAGTAGATGACTTGTATCCACTTCTCATAGTAGATGACTTGTATCCACTTCTCATAGTAGATGACTTGTATCCACTTCTCATAGTAGATGACTTGTATCCACTTCTCATAGTAGATGACTTGTATCCACTTCTCATAGTAGATGACTTGTATCCACTTCTCATAGTAGATGACTTGTATCCACTTCTCATAGTAGATGACTTGTATCCACTTCTCATAGTAGATGACTTGTATCCACTTCTCATAGTAGATGACTTGTATCCACTTCTCATAGTAGATGACTTGTATCCACTTCTCATAGTAGATGACTTGTATCCACTTCTCATAGTAGATGACTTGTATCCACTTCTCATAGTAGATGACTTGTATCCACTTCTCATAGTAGATGACTTGTATCCACTTCTCATAGTAGATGACTTGTATCCACTTCTCATAGTAGATGACTTGTATCCACTTCTCATAGTAGATGACTTGTATCCACTTCTCATAGTAGATGACTTGTATCCACTTCTCATAGTAGATGACTTGTATCCACTTCTCATAGTAGATGACTTGTATCCACTTCTCATAGTAGATGACTTGTATCCACTTCTCATAGTAGATGACTTGTATCCACTTCTCATAGTAGATGACTTGTATCCACTTCTCATAGTAGATGACTTGTATCCACTTCTCATAGTAGATGACTTGTATCCACTTCTCATAGTAGATGACTTGTATGTAATTTGCGATGGTAGTTTATGATTAGTTGTATAAACGATATTATGATTGTTTATTTTAGGAATTAGACGTTTCTATGACAACTTAGAGATGATGATGGGATATAGAATCAATCCTTTCATGGCGATATGTTGGACAGTGCTGTCTCCTATCTTCTGTATGGTGAGTCGTCTGTCGGTTCAGGGTATGCCAGTGTTAAACATTATATAATTAGGATATACCACATGTATTTGTTCTTTTGAATGTACAAATTTAAGCCAAAACGGAGTATCGATATTCATTTGTGCTATAAACGGGTACAATCTGAGACGTAACATAACATCTGCGTGGTGTTATTTTATGAGACAGTACTCCTCATTACCTGGTATAAATGTTAAGTTTAATTTACGAGACTTTAACCGAATAATAATGGGGGACAAAACGACGTCGAGGACGGAATTTTAAAGTCAAGTTACCATGGCGTAAAATGGCGCTAAAATATTCGGAAACCCACTCTTGTTTAAATTCGTCATATATCCACTTGTCAGTTTAAATATCTATAATATCCACTGGTCAGTTTAAATATCTACAATATCCACTGGTCAGACTATATATCCATAATATCCACTGGTCCGATTATATATTCAGAATATCCACTGGTCAGTTTAAATATTCATAATATCCACTGGTCAGATTATATATTCACAATATCCACTGGTTCGATTATATATTCATAATATCCACTGGTCAGTTTAAATATCCACAATATCTACTGGTCCGATTACATATTCAGAATATACACTGGTCAGTTTAAATATCCACAATATCCACTGGTCAGACTATATATATATTCATAAAATCCACTGGTCATTTTAAATATCCACAATAACCACTGGTCAGATCATATATCCACAATATCCACTGGTCCGATTATATATTCAGAATATCCACTGGTCCGATTATATATCCAAAATATCCACAATATCCACAATATCCACTGATCATAGAGGATGTGTCTGCATTATGCTCTGGTCATTTTTTCAGACTATATTCGTGATGAGTGCCATTAACTATGCCGAGCTGGACTACCGTCGACCGGACTCTACGTATGTGTATCCACAGTGGGCAGTGGGCATCGGCTGGACAATGGCTGGTTTCTCTGCTATCTGGATACCGCTGACCGCCATATTCAAGTTATTCTACTACAGCAGAGATCGTCCTCTAGCAGAGGTAAGGATACCGCACGCATCAATAGACATTTCTCTCACAATTCACAGAGTTGTCTCCCATTATATCTACATTGGGTTTTCAGCTAGGAATGTACTTCCTATTTCCGCTTAGCAATACAATCCTATGACCTTAAGTAGCTAACACAACACAATCAACAGGAATCAACACCTCACGGTGAAAGTATGTAACAGGAACTCAACCCAAGGGCTGTTATCGTTAATATTAACTATCGGCTGGAACACAGTCAAGAATATCAACCTTCAGGTGGTGATTTCTTTGTTATACCCTTACGGTAGGGAAATGTTTATTAGTCACTCCCTAGGGCTCTAATATTTAATTTAAAGATTGTAACTTCAAAAACTGTAACTTCGTTTTATTATGAAATAAAGTGCTTTGTAACTTAAATTACTTATGTCGTGTCACAGCTAGCAGCGATTCACGAGAGGAAATATCACAACAGAAAAGTTATGAAATTTAGATTTGATTGATTTGAGAGAGTCTTCATAAACAACAAAAATAGGTCATACAGGAGGCTTTTCCCCCCAAAGTACGCCTCAAGGTAATATCCCTATCCTCCTTCGGTCTATGTGAGTGTTGTTTTGATGTTGCCGTTTCCTTCTTGGAGTAGAACATGGTCTGCTCACCTTCTTAGGATATTTGTTTGATACAAGTTTATTGACCTGTCCGAACCTGCCTAGTTGGTTATAAACAAGCAGTATACTTTGGATGTATGTTAACATATTTGTGGAGATGAGAGGAGGGGTAGGAGTTATAATATTTCATGAATAAATCAGTACCGGGATCATCTTTTTATTTCCCATGTAAATGCCAACTGTTTTAACAAGTTCACACTTTTCCAGGTGGCGCGACGGATGTTGACGCCGTGTGGACTGCGACCCCATCAGTTCCGCCCTCAGGATGTAGGACAACCAAGCCTGGTTGAATACTGGACCGAGAAGGACCTCCGTACATTGGAAGGGAGACAAGCGGTTCCCAAATCCAAAGAAGTACCCATGCAAAACATTGACCAGAAACCAGACCTCACCTTCAACGGCAGTTCTCAGGGACAACAAAACCCAACCTTCTCCGACGAGAGGGGCGCAACGTTCACCAAACTGTAGTCTATAGGATCATAGCTCCATATCATAGTAGGATGTAGATTTCACCGGCAAGAGAAGCAACGTCCCTGTATGAAACAGTGTGTACAAGCTTACAGCTTGTTATCAGAAAGGCTGGAGAACTACACTGACCCAATGGTCTGCCAATACAGCTAGTATTTCTGACCAAGTTATATAGTATTAACATTGAACACATACATTGAACGAAAGAGAAAAGAACAAAAATGATAAAAAGATTGTGACTGAAGGTATATGATAAGTTTTAACGATTGTAGAATTAAAGGTCTATGTGACAGGCTTGAAACGACTGGGGAAATAATAGGGGGGGGGGGGGGGGGGGGGACGACTGGGGAAATACTGGGGCGGTGGAGGCGTGAGTTTATCAACAACTTGTCAATGTTACAGAAATTAAGTATAAACTTCAAACTTCTCATTAAAACGCTTAACGGGATAATGATGCAATACAAATAATAAGTATAAACTTCAAACTTCGCACTACTGGGTTGGTGTATGGCATCTAGACAATGATATATTACTAGGCACCTGGCTTTGGTACTCATCGACAAGGGAGCCGACGCAGTTTGTGAATAAGATACTAAGGCGTGTCCCTAACTTATCTGCAAACTAACAGGTTTCATATTGTTACATGTGTTTGATACGTTGTGCTTCGTTTGTTATGGCGATGTATGATATAAAACTTACGTTGAAACTTTAAAAAATGATTTTGTATATTATTGTAAAAATATTTTTTAAGAACATTTTTCTATTTTAACATCAGGTTGTTTTTTATAGGCAGTGGGAAGCTAAGGTTTGATTGTGAGACAATCCGTCGTTCAGCAGAATTTGTGAAGATGTAAAGTTCAATTGTGAATTACACATTTTAAAAATGAACTTTCAGATCAAGCAGATTATCTGTTGTTATTCCATACTCTAATATTAATACAAATTTTCGTTGGTGTACCTGTAGATTTAATTAACATATCCAAACCTGCCTCATCGGATATTGTAATACGGGACCATACTGTTAGAGAGGTGTCGAATACACGGGTTTCACTGGTGATCTAATACAGCTGTTTATCAGATAGGGAATCATGTTGGAATATTAAGATATATTCTCTCTATATATATATAAATTGCAACATTTTTATTTGCAACCCTACACTAAACCAATCTATAGGAATATATAGGATTATTTCTCAATTAAAGGTTTGCTTCTGAAATTTTAGGTATGTTTTTACCATAAGTGCAATGCATGGGATTTAACAACGAAAATACGTTATGTTAAATCAATTTCATTCAATGATTACGTTATTTACTTATTATGCTATTGAAAAACAAATAATTATTCATAACAAAGGGAGACAACTATAATGTCATTGTTATTCATCAATGTTGTGAGAACATTATGATCTGTGATATATAATAATGATTTTATGTCTTTTGTCAATATTTTTATAATGATATCCATACTCGCTTGAATGTAACGGTATAAAAAAAACAATTTTAAAATAAAAAAGATTTGCAATAACTTACAAAATGGTTTTAATGAAGTTTAGTGAATACTTTTTTTGTTTCAATGTATTTTTACGAAACACAATGTATCCACTTTTCAACTTTATATCTAAACTTTCTGTGTCATAATAGTATCCTTTTTATAAAATATTCTTCTTCTGGTGTTTCAGCGTATTTGCTCTACTGTGTATGCTAAAAGAAACCTTATATACTACTAACTTAGATAAGTGGATACGTTTCTGGTGTTGAGATATTTAAAGCATTGCTGTGTCTACCATTCTACACCAGAATTCCTCATGATGATGCACGTGTTCATGGAAAATAAACATGTACCAGACTAGCGTTTGACAAGAACATTAAATGAGTAACTTCTGGTTGTATTGACTCGGAGACGTTTACAAATGTATATGTCGCAGATTGATTGAACAAAGGCTAAATAGGTCAGCCACGCGATCTTCTTCTGAAGTATCTAAATAATGGTTGGTAACACATCATTGGTTATTAATGGTAATAGATAGTAATAGTTCATTTGCACCCTTTTCTTGACAAAGGATACAAACGTTTTCAAAATATCGCAAAATAAATGTTTAATTTCTGTTTGTGTTCTAAACTATCTTAGCATTTACTAACTGAAAGTAATGTATACAGATATTGATAATCAGTGGAGATAGCAGAAACTTTGTTTTCCTTATGTACATTATACATTTATTATACACATAACAAGATATCTATATACTAAAATATTTTCATATTATATCAATTTTATATGGAAAAATAAAGAGACTATATTTTAGATACTAAACAGTCGCGTTATCTTTATTGAAATAAGCTGTGAACGGGGGTGGGGGCGAAATGGGAGAAAAAGTGGTGTGTGGGTTCGGAGTATTTAAATCACTACTCCCGAAGTCAGCTTTAACAAATGAATTTAAACCTTATTTACCATGCAGCATACCTGGGTGGAGGGGATTCATTGTCGTATTCATGAAGAGCGCGTCCAATCTGTGGTGGGCAGAACTATTTCACCGAGCTGGTCACACTGATCTTTGGTGTGCAGAACTATTTCATCGAGCTGGTCACATTAACTGATCTGTGGTGGGCAGAACTATTTCACCGAGCTGGTCACACTGATCTGTGGTGGGCAGAACTATTTCACCGAGCTGGTCACACTGATCTGCGGTTGGCAGAACTATTTTACCGAGCTGGTCACACTGATCTGCGGTTGGCAGAACTATTTCTCCGAGCTGGTCACACTGATCTGCGGTTGGCAGAACTATTTCAACTTCTTGCGTAGTTCGAGTTAAAACAGGAAAAGGTGAGCCATGCATGCCCCATTGGTGTATGCTACTCTTTTCCTTTGGTGTTATGTTACGGTCATCCTAATCGTAGTATGTCAGTGCCTGCCATGGTCACAGGTCGCTAGTGACCTACTTATTTTTCTGTTATTGACTACAGACATGAGTCTGCAATGTGGTATTCTGTTTGGGTTCCTTGGTGTGTTTCCTTTGGTGCCACAGCCTTCACTATCGACTCTGACGTCACTCTGCGCCTTCGCATATCGAAGGAAAACTATTTTTCTAATTGCGAAATATGATGTAAATTGTCTGCAACAAAGCTTCGTTTACTCTGCACAAGTGTCATATTCACATCATATACAATGTCTACATATCGTCGACGCATAACCTTGATCAGTCATTTGTATTTTCCTGTGTGGAGCTCCATATTCCATCTGTCGTTTGTATCTCCTGTATGGATTTACAGATTCAATCTGTCGTTTGAATTCTCCTGTACGGAGTTACAGATTCAATCTGTCGTTTGAATTCTCCTGTACGGAGCTCCAGATTCCATCAGTCGTTTGTATTCTCCTGTACAGAGTTCCAGATTCCATCTGTCGTTTGTATATCCTGTTTGTAGTGCTAGATTCCATCTGTCGTTTGTATCTCCTGTACGGAGTTCCATATTCCATCTATCGTTTGTATCTCCTGTACGGTGTTCCAGATTCCATTAGTCGTTTGTATTCTCCTGTACGGTGTTCCAGATTCCATCTATCGTTTGTATCTCCTGTACGGTGTTCCAGATTCCATTAGTCGTTTGTATCTCCTGTACGGAGTTCCAGATTCCATCTATCGTTTGTATCTCCTGTACGGTGTTCCAGATTCCATTAGTCGTTTGTATTCTCCTGTACGGAGTTCCAGATTCCA